GTAATTAAAGTTTAAAAATAATGCTGGGCATGAACAAGATAGAGGAGGTGGGGCGTTGGTGGAAATGTACAAGCAGTCCTAAATCAGTATAAAGTGCTTTTAGAGGACATAATGCTAAGGGTTCATTAGTCTGGGAAGGCACACTGGAACAACCATGTTTTCAAGCTCCTCCTAAAGACTGCCAGAGATGGGGCATGCCTGATGTCCTTAGGGAGTGAGTTCCAGAGTTGGGGGGCCACCACCGAGAAGGCCCTCTCTCTCGTCCCTACCAATCGCACTTGCGATGCAGGTGGGAGCGTGAGTAGGGCCTCTCCAGATGATCGAAGAGATCATGTGGGTTCATACACAATAATGCGGTCACGCAGGTAGGCAGGTCCCAAACCGTTCAGGGCTTTGTAGGTAAGAACCTGCACCTTGAATTGGGTCTAGAAAATGAATGGCAGCCAGTGGAGCTCCTTAAACAGAGGGTTGACCGCTCCCTGTAAGGAGCACCAGTTAACAACCTGGCCGCCACCCGTTGGACCAACTGAAATTTCCGAGCCGTTTTCAAGGGCATGTTTTCATGCAAGTCAGATGTTCCCACCTCAACATCTTTAAACTTACTCGCCCAACAACACACAGTACTCACATCAACACAATCACCCTAAACAGCTTGCATTCTCTGATGATTCTCCTTCTGCTGTCAAGAATTCAATGACCACATGTTGCTTAAGTCTCATTGACCGACCGTCTGTGCAGGGTTCCATACTTTACACTTTAACAACACAACCATTCAATGCTAAGGCTTCCTGCCAAAATGGAACTGTAGAGGAGAGTCTACTGAACAAGTCAGTACCTGCCGGATACCAGTACTGTCATCTGTTGAGGAGTTATGAAGATGGAGGCATTACTTTTCATTCAACCTTAGTACAAGGTATCATCTCTCCAAGCAAAACGGTGACTACGTTCCAGTCATCTCATTTTTGGGGATTTCACTTGGATCACGCTTCTGCTTCTTGATGTCAACAGTGGAAAGGGGGGGCACCACAGTCCCAGAGGAGTCCTCCTCGTAGCCAAGAAGGTGACTTCAAGTTCATTGGGTTTCCATGGCCGAGAGGAGATTCGAACTCGGTTCTATAGAGCAGCATCCAATGTTCAAACCGCAGCATTATACTGTCCCACTCAGGAAAAGGCTCCTGGCCATCATGCAAACGTAGGATGCTGAAAAAAATATATATACAAAAGTTGTCCCTGTATCCAGTTTACATGGGCACATTTTGAAATCAAAGCTGATTAAAGTCTTCCTCTTTGGCGGCGTGGAGGAAAGTCGGGTTTGTGATCTCTTTCCAGCGTTTCTGCTCGTTCTCGCCCATTGAAAACATCCCTTGATGGGATTCCTGTCTCTGGCGGATATCACCTTTGAAATGCCCCTGTGGACGTTCCTTCTGGGAGTTCAGAGATCCAACGGTTCCCAGGCTTTGAGTCCATCATAACAAGGCTTGGGAAGGTGACATTAGGCCTGAGAAGAGCTAAAAACACGTTTGAGGGAGTCTTCTCTTCAGTAGTAAATATCTACTTGTATTCATTTAGGTTTCTCAGTTGTTAGACTGATATACCTGGTTATCTCTTTGAACTGTTAGGAACAAAGATGATGCCAATGCACCAAATATAGAGCAGATCTTCAGAAGTGTTATTTCAGTTGCCCAAAAACATCTACTCTCCCATAAAATATATTTGGTTTTAAATCATGCTCCCAAAGAACAAAAATAAGCAGCCTACATTAAAAAGAAGATAGTTGGTTTACTTACAAACTTAATGTGTACATTGCTTATCAGTTGAAAGTTTAAACAGGCCGTGTTTCTCAACCTGGGGGTCGGGACCCCTAGGTGGGTCGCGAGGGGGTGTCAGAAGGGTCGCCAAAGACCACCAGGAAAACAGTAATTTCTGTTGGTCATGTGGGTTCTCTATGGGAAGTTTGGCCCAATTCTGTCGTTGGTGGGGTTCAGAATGCTCTTTGATTGTAAGTGAACTATAAATCCCAGCAACTACAACTCCCAAATGTCAAGGTCTATTTCCCCCAAACTCCACCAGGGTTCACATTTGGGCATATTGAGTATTTGTGCCAAGTTTGGTCCAGATCCATCATAGTTTGAGTCTACAGTGCTCTCTGGGTGTAGGTGAACTACAACTCCAAATTCTTGATTCTAGGTAAACTATAAATCCCAGCAACTACAACTCCCAAATGACAAAATCAGCCCCCCACCCCACTAGTATTCAATTTTCAGTGTTTCGGGTATTTGTGCCAAATTTGGTCCAGACCAGTGCATATGTGATATTTACATTACGATTCATAACAGTAGCAAAATCACAGTTATGAAGTAGCAACAAAAATAATTTTATGGTTGGGGGTCACCACCACATGAGGAACTGTATTAAGGGGTCGCGGCATGAGGAAGATTGAGAACCACTGCTCTAAGGCATTCTGTTGCAGTTTCTTCTCTGTTGCATACAGACTGACAATACATTACTGACTGAATACTGACTTCTAAAATGGAGTCTCAGTCTGAATAGTCCCAGTTGAAAGTTTAAGCAGCAAGTTCTCAAAGGCATTCTGATGCAGTCTCTTCTCTGTTGCATACAGACTGAAATACATCATTGACTGAACACTCACTTCTAAAATGGAGTCTCAGTCTGAATAGTCCCAGCTGAAAGTTTAAACAGCAAGTTCTCGAAGGCGTTCTGATGCAGTCGCTTCTCTGTTGCATACAGACTGACAATACATTACTGACTGTACATTGACTTCCAAAATGGAGTCTCAGTCTAAATAGTCCCAGCTGAAAGTTTAAACAGCAAGTTCTCAAAGGCGTTCTGATGCAGTCGCTTCTCTGTTGCATACAGACTGACAATACATTACTGACTGAATACTGACTTCTAAAATGGAGTCTCAGTCTGAATAGTCCCAGCTGAAAGTTTAAACAGCAAGTTCTCGAAAGCGTTCTGTTGCAGTCTCTTCTCTGTTGCATACAGACTGAAATACATCATTGACTGAACACTGACTTCTAAAATGGAGTCTCAGTCTGAATAGTCCCAGCTGAAAGTTTAAACAGCAAGTTCTCGAAGGCATTCTGTTGCAGTCTCTTCTCTGTTGCATACAGACTGACAATATATCACTTACTTCTAAAGTGGAGTCTCTGTCTGAATAGTCCCAGATCTGGTCGCATGGTCTGCAATCCCTCCCACAACCTCAGACAACCTAGAGTTAAGGGGAAACTGCAAATCAAAATATACATACAAGAGAATAAGCAATCTGAATTATGTACATAATAAATAACTAGTAGAGGAGGCTTGGAGAAGGTTGCTATTTCCAACACATCTGGCCAAGAAAAAAATAGTATATGGCTCTCCATAAAGTCCATAAAGTCAGGCAACCAAACCGATCTTGGCACCAGAAACAGGTTTCTTCTATGATATGTTTCGAGAGAAATTGTGATTCAGTTCCACAGAAAGGGTGGAGTAGGCAACGCCTGACATGTGAAGACAATGGTAGGACGAAGGAAAAGAATTGCACAGCTTCGCAAGGGAGGGCTATCACTCCCCAAACCCTTCACCGTTGTGAGCAAAGCTAGGCTAATATGATTTTTCTTTTCTCTTTCGTTTTTCTTTCATTTCACCAGCGGAGGTGCAATGGGTTAAAATACTGAGCTGCAGAACTTGCTGGTGGTTCGAATTCGCAGGATGGGGTGAGCTCCCGCTGTTAGCCCCAATCTAACAGTTCGAAAACATGCAAATGTGAGTAGTGTTATGTTTCAGGACCACCCATGATAAGTGAAAATCCGCAAAGTAGGGATGCTATATATGTACTACGAGGCATAGGACCGCCCCCTCGTAGGAGTGGCTCTGCCCACTCCTCTCTCCCCCTCCTCCCCTCTTTCTCACTCACTCAATCTCTTCGCCTTCTCTTTCTTCTCCTCTTTCCCCCCCCCCCTTCCTCCCTCCGCCCCCCCCCTGCTGCCCTTCCTGCTTCTTCACTGGCCTGGGGCTCTCACCCGGATGCCCATGGAAGAAGCCCTCGTGGAAGCTGCCTTGGTGGCCCTCTATGCACCCCTCGCTGGCGCCACTTCGACTAGGCTCTGGGAAGGACGGGGCTCTTCGCCAGCCACACACACATGCCTCCCTCACAGCTCGCTGCCTCCGCCGGCCAGAGCGATGCTTCTGGCTTCCGGGAAGCACATAAACATTGCTTCCCATGCGCCTACGTCACCGACAAGGGGTTCCTTGCTTGCCCTCTCCCCGCCTCCCTGGGGCAGCGCAAGAGCCATTCTTCCGCTCCGTGTGACAAAAGTCTGTGGCAGCATCTACGCTGGAGAAACAACGCACTTTGATAACGGGTATACAGTGTGTCCTTCACTACTTGCATATTTTAAATTCATATTTTTTGAAAAACTGTAAAACAGAGAGTCCGCGAAAAGCGAACCACGAAGTAGCGAGTCCGCAAAAAGTGAACCATGAAGTATCAAGTCAGCAAAAAGTGAATTGCAAAGTAGTGAGTCTGTGAAAAGCGAACTGCAAAGTAGCGTGTCCGCGAAAAGCAAACCGCGAAGTAGCAAATCAGCAAAAAGCGAACTGCAAAGTAACGAGTCCACAAAAAGTGAACCGCAAAGTAGCGAGTCTGTGAAAAGCGAACCACGAAGTGGCAAGTCAGCAAAAAGCGAACTGCAAAGTAGCAAGTCCGCGAAAAGCGAACTGCAAAGTAGCGAGTCCGCGAAAAGCGAACTGCAAAGTAGCGAGTCCGCGAAAAGTGAACTGCAAAGTAGCGAGTCCGCGAAAAGCGAACTGCAAAGTAACGAATCCACGAAAAGCGAACCGTGAAGTAGCGAGTCCACGAAAAGCGAACCACAAAGTAGCGAGGAAACACTGTATATCAGAAAGGAGGTGAGCCCTAAATGCTCTCCAAAATGTGGCAGCTGAGAACAATGAGTGCTGCCATCCCTTGGCACATTCGCGTCTAGTCTGCCATCAATGTTGGGCTTCTCAGTCTTTGAAAACCGCGAATGCCAGAGTCAGGAAAAAAAATAAATAGAAGGAGGTCAGCGAGTATCACGTTCGGAAGCGATAAGGAATGAATGGGACAGCACTTTTGTCTGCTTGCCAAGAGCCTTCGAAGAGAGCGAGAAAGTTTTATTCTGCTAATAAGTTAACTAGTCATCTCTGGGGCCAGAAAAAGAAATGAACCTTTGGCAAGCATCGGTGAAAGAGGAGTGGAGGAAATGGAGAACTTCTGAATGGGGACATGGCATTTTATAGCTGGGGGAATGGTTAGGAAAATGGGAGGGTGAGAGAGAAAGGAGTTCCCATCGCTCTGCAAAGGGCTGGATGATATAAAAACTCTGGGGCAGGACAGCTATCTGAATCCATGCACCATGGCTTGGCTTCCCGGCTTAGTTTTCTTCTGCCTGTATTCCACTGCGGCAAAAGCAGCCTCCGGAGAAGGTAAGAGACCTTTCCAGCCTCCCTCCGAGCCCAGCACAGCTTGGCTCTTCCGAAGTCTAATTTTGGAAAGAGGCACACGAACCAACGCGGGTGCCGACAGCAATCCCCGATGCCTGCCTTTCTTATAATACACACTGAGAATTGGTTCATAGCTTTGTAGGTGTCGATGCCTCTTTCGTGTTCGGCAAGCTTGGATTTCAGAAGGTTGGCTCCTTTGGGACAATAGCAATTTCTTTTTTCTTTTCCAAAGATGCAAATCAAAAGGTGATGATTTCGGGTTTGCTTAATAGCCTGCTTTTGTTGGAACTGTCTGGAGGATGATAATAATAATAATAATAATAATAATAATAATAATAATAATAATAATAATTCGAAAATACATCACACAGTCCTAGACGCTTGGGAAGTGTTCGACTTGTGATTTTTTGATACGAAATCCAGCATATAGACCTCGTTTGCTGTGACATACTGTGCTTTTGTGTCAGTAAAATAATTGGGAAGTGTCCGATGTGTGATCCGATACAACAGCCAGCAGAGTGACCTTGTTTGCTGTGAACTCATCTTGTGTTTCTAATAATAATAATAATAATAATAATACAGAATCATTATACATAATCATATGTATTATATGTATTATACTTACATAATCATATTATAATCCGAATACATAATCATAATACATCACACAGTCCTAGACGCTTGGGGAGTGTTCGACTTGTGATTTTGAGATATGAAATCCAGCATATAGATCTTGTTTGCTGTGACATACTGTGTTTTTGTGTCATAATAATAATAATAATAATAATAATAATAATAATAAGCCACCCCATTCAGATTTGCATGCATTATTTGCCGATACTTCACACAGTCCTAGACACTTGGGAATTGTCTGATGTGTGATCCGATACAACAGCGAGCAGAGTGATCTTGCTTGCTGTGGACTCATCTTGTTGTGTATCTAATAATAATAATAATAATAATAATAATAATAATAATAATAATTCACCGATACATCACAGCCCACGCTCAAGGTCAACCTAAGTCTGAATTATTATTTTTTTTGTATTGTCAGGAGCGACTTGAGAAACTACAAGTCGCTTCTGGTGTGAGAGAATTGGCTGTCTGCAAGGAGGTTGCCCAGGGGACGCCCGGATGATTTGATGTTTTTATCATCCTTGTGGGAGGCTTCTCTCATGTCCCCGCATGAGGAGCTGGAGCTGATAGAGGGAGCTCATCCGCCTCTCCCCGGATTCGAACCTGCGACCTGTCGGTCTTCAGTCCTGCCGGCACAGGGGTTTAACCCACTGCGCCACCGGTGGCTCCAATAAATAATAATAATAATAATAATAATAATAATAATAATAATAATAATATGATGTTTGGGTCTCTATTAAACAACAACAACAACAACAGACAGGCTTAGGGGGAGAAAGTTTGAGAGAAATAATAATAATAATAATAATAATAATAATAATAATAATAATATAACTACTACTACGATGTTTGGGTCTCTATTAAACAACAACAACAACAGACAGGCCTTAAGGGAGAAAGGTGGGGAGAAATAATAATAATAATAATAATAATAATAATAATAATAATAATAATACAATGACTACTATGATGTTTGGGTCTCTATTAAACAACAACAACAGACAGACAGGGCCTTAGGGGAGAAAGTTGGGGAGAAATAATAATAATAATAACCATCATCATCTATATAAATAAAAATGTAATGTTCATTTGTGGGATTAACATGACGCAAAAACCACTGGACGAATTGACACCAAATTTGGACACAATACACCTATCAGGCCAACGAGTGACCATCACTCATAAAAACACTGAAAAACACAGCAGAAGGGACTTAAAAAGCCAAAAAACAAAAAAATACATTACAACGCATATGCAAAACCACATATACACACAAATCACACATACATACACATATACACAAATACACACACATACACATATATACACACACAAAACACATATACACAGACTGGGTCACAGCAACACATGGCAGGGGACGGCTAATAATAATAATAATAATAATAATAATAATAATATGATGTTTAGGTCTCTATTAAATAACAACAACAACAACAACAACAACAACAACAACAACAACAACAACTGATAGGGCCTTAGAGGAGAAAGTTGGGGAGAAATAATAATAATAATCATCATCATCATCATCATCATCATCGGATACTTCATACACTCCAAGGCATTTGGGAATTGTCCGACGAGTGATCGAATACAAAAGCCAGCATAGTGATCTTGTTTGCTGTGGACTCATCTTGTTGTGTATCTAATAATAATAACAATAATAATAATAATAATAATAATAATAATAATAATATGATGTTTGGGTCTCTATTAAGAGAAATAAGCAGGGTATACATAAAATAATAGTGTAATAGTGAGAATAATATTGTTTAAAAACTTTGAAAGCACTTTAAATTACATCTTTACTTCCTCCTTTTGTAACTTTCCTTTAAATGAGATGACTGTGAGAGCTGTTCAGCAGTGGAACTCTCTGCCCCGTGTGGTGGAGGCTCCTTCTTTGGAGGCTTTGGAGTAGGGGCTGGATGGCTGTCCGTCGGGAGTGCTTTGAAGGTGATTGTCCTGCTTCTTGGCAGAATGGGGTTGGACTGGATGGCCCACCAGGTCTCTTCCAAATCTAGGATTCTATGATTCTATGTTCAGCAGTGGAACTCTCTGCCCAAGTGTGTGGTGGAGGCTCCTTCTATGGAGGCTTTGAAACAGAGGCTGGATGGCCATCTGTCAGGGGTGCTTTGAATGCATCTTTCCTGCTTCTTGGTAGAATGGGGTTGGACTGGACGGCCCATGAGGTCTCTTTGTTTACATTCCCCATATCTCAACCTTGGACCCGGTTCTCTTTATTGCCTGAACTTTATAGAAGATCAGAGATCAATTATAGAGGGTTTTTTTTTCAGCTTTGCATACTGAGAGTGGAAAGTTCAAAAAACAGTTTTTGAGAAAGGATCAAGAACTGCTGGTGGGAAAAGACTGCTTTTTGTGCTTCAAAATCCAGAAAGAGGTTGTTAGGTAGAGGAAAGTGTGCAGGGAGAGGTGGAGAAATCATACAATCCTTGGCTTTGCAGGATTAAAGCAAGGCTTGTTTGCTTCTCTATTCTGTTCTAAAGGAATAGATAGACTATTAGATCAATACAGAGATGGGTGAATAAATGATTAAATAGATAGATAATCAGACAGATACATAATTAGATGGATGGATAGCCTGTGAATTTTATATGAGATATAGATGGAGGGATAAATAGGTGGATAAATTAGCTGATGGATGGATGGATGGATGGATGGATGGATGGATGGATGGATGGATGGATGGATAGATAGATAGATAGATAGATAGATAGATAGATAGATAGATAGATAGCTGACAGATTAGACAGGGAGATAGACAGATTGAAATGGAAGATAGCAGGCAGATAGATAGATGATAGATAGATAGATAGATAGATAGATAGATAGATAGATAGATAGATAGATAGAATAGAGGTGTTGGTGAATGGATGGATGGATGGATGGATGGATGGATGGAGAGATAGAGAGATGGATCAAGATGGATGGATCGATGGATAGATAAGATAGATGGCTGGGTGAATGGATGAATAGATGATTGATAGATAGATAGATAGATAGATAGATAGATAGATAGATAGATAGATGACAGATAGATTACACAGGGAGATAGACAGATTGAAATGGAAGATAGATAACAGGCAGATAGATAGATAGATAGATAGATAGATAGATAGATAGATAGATAGATAGATAAAGATGGATGGATGAATGGATAGATAGATAGTTAGAGATAAGATAGATAGATAGATAGATAGATAGATAGATAGATAGACAGACAGATTGATATGGATGGATGGACAGACAGATAGATAAGGAGGGGTGGATGGACGGACAGATAGAGATAAGATAGATAGACAGATGAGGATGGGTAGATGAATAGATGGATGGATGGATGGATGGATATAAGATAGATAGGTAGATATAAGATAGATATCTGTCTGTCCGTCTCTCTGTCCATCTATCCATCCAATCATCTATCCATCGAATTATCTATCCACTATTATTTCTCCTCATGTATCTGTCTGTCAGACCATCTGTCCATCCATCAATCCATTCAACCAACCAACCATTTATCCACCTAATTATCTATGCACCTATCTCTCTCCCTGTGTATCCATCTGTCAGTCCGTCACTCTGTCCATCCATCCATCTATCCATGTAATTAACTATCCACCTATCTCTCTTCCTGTGTATCCATCTGTCCATCCATCCATCCATCCATCCATCCATCCATCCATCCATCCAATCATCTAGCCTTTGAATTATCTATCCACTATTCTCTCTCCCTTTGTATCTGTCTTGCTGTTTGTCCATCCACCCATTCATCCATCCACCCACTCAACCAACCATCTATCCACCTAATTATCTAACCACCTATTTCTCTCCGTGTTTCAGTTTGTCCATCTGTCTCTCTGTCCATCCATCCATCCAGTCATCTATCCATCAAATTATCTATCCACTATTCTCTCTCCTCATGTATCTGTCTGTCTGACCATCCATCTATCCATGCATCCATTCAACCAACCAACCAAACATCTGCCCACATAATTATCTATTCACCTCTCTCTTTCCCTGTGTATCCATCTGTCCATCCGTCTCTCTGTCCATCCATCCATCCATCCATCCATCCATCCATCCATCCATCCATCCATGTAATTAACTATCCACCTATCTCTCTTCCTGTCTGTTTGTCTCTCTCTCCATCCATCCATCCATCCATCCATCCATCCATCCATCCATCCACCTAATTATCTATCTACCTATCTCTCTCCCTGTGTATCCATCCATCCCTCTGTCCACCCATCCAATTATGTATTTATTATTATTATTATTATTATTATTATTATTATATTATTATTATTATT